AGAGATTGTGAATATAATCGCAATGGGAGAATATCAATGTAATAGCACAGAGAGATTATCAATGTAATAGCACAGAGAGAATATCAACATAATAGCGCAGAGAAAATATCACCATAAAGCAGGGAGGGCATATCAATGTCATAGCACAGAGGATATCAATGTAATAGCACACAGAGAATATTAACGCAATTGCACAGAAACAATATCAACTAAAAGCGCAGAGAATATCAATGTAATAGCACAGAGAGAATATTAACGTTATAGCACAGAGAATGTCAATGTAATGCAATAGAGAATATCAATATAATAGCACAGAGAGTATCAATGTAACAGCACAGAGAGATGATCAATGTAATAGCATAGAGTAAAAATCAATGTCATAGCACAGAGATTATCATCAAAGTAGCTCAGAGAGAATACCAAATTAATAGAACAGAGACAATACCAACATAAAAGCACAGAGAGAATGACAATCTAAAAGCACAAAGAGAACATCAATGTAATAACACTGAGAGAATATCAATGTAGTAGCACAGAGACAGTATTAATGTTATACCACAGAGACGACATCAATGTGAAAGCACAGAGAGGATATCAATTTAATAGAACAGAGAGAATTTCAATGGAATACCACATAGGCAACATCAATGTGATAGCACAGAAAATACAAGTGTAATAGGACAGAGATATCAATATAATAGCTCTAGGAGAATACCAATGTATTAGCACAGAGGATATCAATGCAATAGCACAGAGAATATCTCTGTAAAAGCATAGAGGGAGTATCAAAATAGTAGCACAGAGACAATATCAATGTCATCGCAGAGAGAATAGCACTGTCAAAGCACGGAGATAATATTAATGAAATACCAGAGAATATCAATGTTAAAGTACATAGAGAATGTTACTGTAATAGCACAGAACAAATATCACCGTGATAGCACAGAGAAGATCAATGTAACAGCCCATGGAATATCAATGTAAAAGCACAGAAATTATATCAATATAATAGCACAGACAATATTATTGTAATAGTCCAGGGAATATAAACAGAAAAGCACAGACAGAATGTCAACGTAATACCACAGACAGCATGTCAATATAACAATACAGAGAAAATATCAATGTAATAGTGCAGACAATATCAATGAAATAGCACAGAGAATATCAACATACTAGCACAGAGAGCATATCAATGCAATACCACAGAGAGTATCGATTAACAGCACAGAGAATATCAATCTAATGTTGGTCCTCAAACCTCATGGTACTCAACTATTCTGTGTAGATTATTAGAAGGTCAACGCTGTGACCAAATCTGACTCATACCCAATTCCAAGGCTGGAAGATTGTGTGGAAAAAGTAGGACAAGCCACCTACATCACAAAGTTGGACATTTTGTCAGGGAGAGCAAAATAAGTTTCTGCTTTTGTAACACCAAATGGGCTATATCAATTTAAAGTAATGCCCTTTGGAATAAGAAATGCACCAGCCAAATTTCAAAGGCTTATGAACAGATTTGTTGCAGATTTGACTAATTGTGCCGTGTACATAGATGACTTAGTAGTCTTGAGCCATTCATGAAAATATCACATGAAGCATTTTGCAGAGCTCTTTGATGGACCACAGAAGGCAAAGTTGGTCATAAACTTGGAAAAACAGAATTTCCGAAGACGGAAGTGACATTCTTAGGGCACAATATCAGATATTGATGGATAATACCAAGGAACGTGAAGACGAAGGCCATTGAGGAATTTCCAAGACCATCATCGAAAAAGGAAGTGCTATGATCTTTAGGATTGATTGGATTCTACAGGAAATTTGTACCAAACTTTAGTAGTGTAGTGACATCGCTGATAGATTTGTTAAAAGTGAACTCAAAATTTTGGTGGACCGAACAATGCCTGGAGGCATTTGAGACTTTAAAAGTAGTGTTAACCACCGCACCAGTTTTAGCCATGCCAGATTTTTTGAAACTCTTCAAAGTCGCCATCAACACAAGCGATGTAGGTGTTGGAGCTGTGTTGTTCAAGGAGGGTAATTGTGGAATAGAAAGGTCAATTGGTTATTTTTCCAAAAAACTAAATATCCACCAGGAAAAATATTCAACCATTGAAAAAGAGCTATTGTGTTTGGTAATGACCTTACAACATTTTAATGTTACATTGCAAACAATGCATCAGAGACGATTGTGTATACCGATCACAATCTTTTAACATTGCTGGAAAGATTTAAGGACAAGAACACTGGACTATTTTGTTGGAGTATCATGTTACAAGCATTTAGTTTACAGATTGTACAAGTTGCAAGTCGTGAAAATATTATTGCAGATGTGTTTTGGCGGGTTTAAATGAAAAATGCTTATATAAGATAGAAACGGTAGTATTCAATGTTATATAACTAGAATTTGTATAAAATGTATAAGTTTAGATTGACGAGCTATGGATCTCGTAACACAATGGAGTTACGATTTTAAAAAAGCCATCTCTTTGTACTAATGGTTCTTTTTTCTTCTTAAGGGCAGAGGTATAGCAAAGTTGAGTAGAGTACCTGTGGATTTGGAGGCAGGAAGTTAGAATTTGGTGTTTGCAAAATGCTAGGGGGGGAAGTCATTGTGTGGTCCCTTTATAGGTGATATGCTTTTTCTATGCTTAGAGATCATAGAATCCCTACAGTATGGAAACAGGGAATTCGGCCCAACAAGTTCACACTGTCCCTGTGAAGAGCATCTCACCCTGACCCATTTCCCTACCCCTGTATTTCCCTGTCTAACCCAAACATCCCTGGGCACTATGGGCAATTTAGCATAGCCAATGCACCTATCCTACACATTTTTGGACTGTGGGAGGAAACCAGAGCACCCAGAGGAAACCCACACAGACAGGGAGAATGTGCAAATTCCACACAGACAGTCACCCGAGGTTGGAATTGAACCTAGGTCTGTAGTGCTGTGAGGCAGCAGTGCTAACCACTGAGCCACTGAGCCACCGTGCCACTCCGATGTAAAATGGATGGCTGTGAGCAGCAGCTTGAAGGTTTGCAAGTACACAGAGAGCACCCGAATTGAAACATTTGTATCAAAAAGCTGTACAGTTAGCAGGCCAAGCAACAGTTTTGTTTTGTTACCAAGACAGCAAGTTTTTGAATTTAGCCAATTATTTTTAACCGGACACTTAGGTGCCAAAAACCAATTAAATTTAAATCTGATGGTTTTGACAATATAGGTCCAATTCTATCGTACAAAATTGATATGTCATCAAGGGTGTAAAAGAAAAGGGCAGTTGGACAAAGAGCAGAGAGCTAACTGCCATCCACCAGAGCTAACAGCTCTCAGATCTCAAGAGAGAATCACTGGCTCCCACAGTTTCCTCTTAGAGAAAGCACCATCTAAATATCAAAATACTAATCACCCAATGAGTTAATATTCCTGACAGAAGAATTGATGGAAAAGGCGTTCCTGACAGAACATTCGACGGAGAAGGCACAGCACATTGGGAGTTGTATTTATTGGAACAGCATACCATTAGAATCTTGTTTCATTCCAGAATAGTTAGTAGTTACAAGGGGTTTATTTGGTTTGTTAATAGTTTAGTTAATTTGTTCACTGTTAGAATTGGATAAATAAATTGTTACTTGTTGATTGTAAAGGAAGTGTCAGGGATTTATTGCATTTGACCACTAGAACTTGCTGAAAGGCTGGTTACACCACCTTTCACGAACCTTTTACAGATTATAGGGTGAGGTGCTCCTCTTTGGGTGTTTCAGTGTTAGGTCTCAGACGGGGTCAACTTCCAGTTTGTAACAATAGCACAGACAGAATGTCGAGGTATTAGCACAGAGAGAATATCAATGCAACAGCACAGAGAGAATATCAATGTAATAGCACAGTGGATATCAATGAAATGGCAGAGAGAATATCAATAGAATACGACAGACAGAATATCAATGGAATATGACGACAGAATATCAATAGAATACGACAGACAGAATTTCAATAGAGTACGACAGACAGAATATCAAAGTAATAGCACAGAGAGAATATCGATGCAAAAGCACATAGAATGTCAATGCAACAGCACAAACATTATCAATGCAATGGCACAGTGAATATCGGTGAAGTAGCACAGAAATATCAATGGAGTACCACAAGAGAGAATATCAAAGTAATAGCACACAGAGAATCTCAATGAAATTGCACGGAGAGAATTTCAATAGAATTGCACAGAGAGAATATCAACAGAATTGCACAGAGAGAATATCAAAGTAATAGTACAGAGAGAATATCAATGGAATAGAACAGAGAATATCAATGCAATAGCAGTGAGAGAATATCAATGCTTTAGCACAAAGAAGATCAGTGGAATACCACTGGGAGAATATCAGTGTAACAGCACAGAGAGAATATCAATGTAATGGCACAGAGAATATCAATGTAATAGTACAGAGAACATCAATGTGATAGCGCAGAGACAATATTAATTTAATAGCACAGAGAGAATATCAATTAAATAGCGCAGATGGAATATCAGTTTAATAGCACAGAGAGAATGTCAGTGTAATAGTACAGAGAATGCGTTATTGTAATAGGACACAGAATATCATTGTTACAGTACAGGGACAATATCAATGTAAAAGCAGAGACAGAATGCCAATGTAATGGCAGAGAGAGAATTTTAATGTAATAGCTCTGAAACAGAGACAGTACAGAAACAATATCAATGCAATAGCACAGAGAGACTATCAATGCAATAACACAGAGAGATCATCAATCTAATAGCACAGAGACAATATGAATGTTATAGCACGGAGAGAATATCAATATGATAGCACAGAGAAAATATCAATTTAATAGCACAAAGACAATGCAATAGCATTAATCAAAGACTTGTTGCTCTTTTCTTGTCTCTTCTCCATTGTGGTGTTTAAACAGCTGGGGGAGGAGCCTGAGGGAATGTGGAAACTCTCAAAAGCAGATAAAAAAAGACCTCAGACGTCCCACGCCTCATTGACGTTGCCTGGTGATGAAAGTTTCAAAACATTCTTCCGGCTCTAGAGAAGGGATTGCGCGCTGAGCATACAGAGCAGCGCTCTGGCCACGCTGTGGGTATCTCAGTTCCTTCCCCGGGGTTTGGGTGGTCATTACACCGAACCCGGCCTGAGGACAGTGCCTGGCGCCTGGGCAAGGGGTAGAGATGCGGGCGATGGATCTCAGGTTGGTCCTGTGCCTTATGAGTGCTTCCATGGTCACTGAGGGCAGTCACGACTGTACCTGGACAGGTAAGCTTTTTTCTCCAGCCTCTGTTCCTGCTTGCCTTTATCATTGAACGCATTTCTTCATTTCTCCCAGACGTTCCCTTGATACTGCGTTTCGTCGTTTCGGTTGTATTTGTTTTATGTTTTAAAGTGATTGAAAAACATGTGTGGCGTCCAGCCCCAGATTTTTGGGAGGAACTCCCACGCACTGTGGGAGTCCGGACGGGGGAATTTCCATATGGTTGGCACATTGCCGAGTCCGGTGTGCGGCGTTTACCAGCAGCATAGTTCTTATTTACATAGCGCTCAATGCTTCCCAGCAGTAAGTGTGGGCACGCAGCAACGTGAAGGAAGATTTCAATCTCCTTAATCACACTGCACAGTGCCTTCCACACCACTATAGACCCGGTGCAGTCGTTTCGAGATGTAGTCACTGTTTTAATGATTTCACCTCTGGGTGTCCTAAGACTAAGGGAGACTTTTTAAATTAGGGGCTGCCTTTTTAGTCCAGTGATAAGGGGCCTCATGGCTGTACAAGACATTGGTCAGGCCACATTCGGTTTGTTGCGTACAGTTCTGGTCGCCCTGCTAAAGGAAGTATGTTGCAAAACATGAAAGGGTGCAAAAAAAATTTACGAGGACACAAAAGTAGAAATTGTTGGAAAAGCTCAGCAAGTCTGGCAGCATTTGTGGAGAGAAATCAGAGTTAAGGTTTCGTGTCGAGTTGTCAACAAATGCAGGCAAGCGGGACTAGTTTAGTTTGGGAACATGGTTAATTGTTTACCGAAACGTTAACCCTGATTTCTCTGGAAAGATGCTACCATGTTCCCAAACTAAAAATTCCCAAACTAAACATCCTGCTCCGATGCTGTCTGAGCTGCTGTGCTTCTCCAGCTCCATGTCTTGTCGATTCTGACTTCCAGCATCTCCAGTCCTTACTATATCCTTTAGGATTATCAGATCAGCCATGATCTCATTGAATGGGGCAGAAGACTCTATAGGGTAAATGGCCTACTACTGCTCCTATGTTTTATGATCTTATGGAGAGGCATTCTTTTGATTGAGTCATTGAAAGATATACAATTCTGACAAGACTCTACAGGCTAGATACTGAGAGGCTGTTTCCACTGGCAAGAGAGCCTCACCATATGTCAAAGTCTTGGTTTTAGGATTGAGAGCTGTTTAGGACAGAGGTAAGGAGATTTTTCTTCACTCAGACTTCTGAATCTTTGGAATTTATTACCCCAGAAAGTTGTTAGTGCCCAGGCATTTAGTAAATTCAAATGAGAGATCAATTAATTTTTGGATGAGAAGGGAATCGAGGCAAGATGGAATTGAGGTAGAGAGTCAGTCTTGATTGAGTTGGATGAGCGAGTCAAATGGCCAACTCACAAGACAGTAAAACACAGAAGCAGCAGTAGGCTATTCAGCCCATCAAATCTGTTCTGCCATTCAATGGGGTCATGACTGATCTGATAATCCTTAATCTCACATTCCTACTCCTGTTTTGTTTTCATACATCACAACTATCTGCTGGGTGATGTTTTCTTTAGCTATACAACAGTAAAGGACATCAGCTGACCTGTTCTCACTTGCCCACTGTTTTGAAGACTGTGAACAAGTCCAGGCTCCAGTGATGCATTGAACTACGAATCCATATGAAACTGCTCTGTAACAGCACAGTGCTAGGCCCACTCAGTTGCATTTTCCAAGTCCTACATCTCTCAATCTTAGTCTTGAGCCTGACTCAGTCCCAATGTTACAGCAGCATCCTAACATCTCTGGCACCGCAAAGGGCAGAGCTAATCCATTTTACACACTGACTGTATGGCCTGGACTTTTCCTCTGTCTTCCCTGGTTAGGTACTTTGTCTTATTTATCACTCCAATCCATAAAACTGCTAGATGTGCGAGGGATGTCTAATGTTCCTCTCCAGTTAGATTCCAGCCTGTTGTCAGGACTCAGAGAGCTCCTTGTTATGCCTGTCTAGAGTCGAATTTAAACTTCTCACTTTCAGTTTGAAGGGAGGAGCTGTGGGAAGCTAGTTCCAAGTCATTAGGTCACTCCACACAGACATTACCCTCCCATAAATAAAGACAGCATGGATATCCATTTCGTTACTCAGCAGATTTAATAGAAATGGAATGATAATTTTTTGCCAGTTTTAAAGTTTGGACCTTACTCCGAGGCCTCAGCCCTCCCTCTGTCTCTAATTTCCTCCTGACCCATGGCAAATGGAGAAATCAGACTCTGCCCCAGTTCCAGCCTATGTAACATTCCCAATTTTAGCAGCCGGGCCCTGTTTTCTTTGTAATTTGGATCGCTCCCTTAATAATTTTCTTAAACATATATCTTTGACCAAGTTTTTAGCTATCTGAATAAAAACCGAAAAGAACTGCGGATGCTATAAATCAGGAACAAAATCAGAAGTTGCTGGAAAAGGTCAGCAGGTCTGGCAGCATCCGTGAAGAAAAAACAAAGTTAATATTTCAGATCTGGTGATTTAGATATTTGATCTGAGATTCTTTTGTGTGTTATATATTCTTTTCGAATTGTCCCATGTGATACTTTATAATGTTTAATTGTGGTATAGCTGCAACATAAATACAAGCTGTTGTTGACGAAGGTGGTGTGTGAGAACAATTAGCTTATTATCACATAGACCATTGAATGGCCTACTCCTGTTCCAGTGTTTGTGTTCGAAGTCTAAAGGTGAAATGGGTGGAACCTTATCACTGGCTTTCCTGCTTAAAAAGTTTACGTGTTCACAATTTTTATGCAGATTTCTTATAGATGTCTTAACAGTGTTTTTAACAGAATAACTAGAGCAATTTGACTTGATATATAATAGGTTTAGGTTATGTAAAATATGTGGTTTGTTCTGTAGTTAATAAATGTAAAACGGGGAGGTGATGGCCTAATAGTATTATCACTGGATTGTTAATCCAGAGACCCAAGTAATGTTCTGGGGACCTGGATTCATATCTAGCCAAAGCAGATGATGGAAGTTGAATTCAGTTTAAAAAAAAAATTCTGGGAAGAAGAGTCTAATGATTACCATGAATTGATTGTCAGGAAAAACCCATCTGGTTCACTCACGTCCTTTAGGGAAGTAAACTGCTCTCCTTACTTGGTCTGGCCGACATGTGACTCCAAGTCCACAGCAATGTGGCTGACTCTTAACTGCCCTCTGGGCAACTAGGGATAGGCAATAAATGCTGGGCCAGCTGGTCCCCTTATCCCATGAATAAATAATAAAAAAAACTGCAGCAAACTTTCTATGATCTTATTGTCCCTGTTTTGATTTCCAATAAATGGTTAAGTTGCCATAAAATTACCAAAATACGGGGTTGCTCTCTCATTAGAGAGAGACAACTGATAGTGGTCACCACGCCTCAGGAGAGGGAAGAGGTTGAGCAGGAGAGACCTTTGTGATAACCTCAGCCAGTGTGAGAATTGAACCCATGCTATTAGTGTCACTGCATCACAAACCAGCCAACTGAAAACCCACCCCCTCCCCACTGTTAATCTATTAGGCAAAGTCTGAATAAAGATCAGGACATGAATAAACCATATTTGAGGAATCACTGTATCTTTCAGTCTATCACTGAAGGAGAAAGCTTCCAGAGTTGACAACACTACAATCCTTTCTACTATGAGACATCAAGAAATCTCCTTTAAAGCTTTCTGCTTCAGGATAGTACACCATCAAAAACAACTCAACAACGCCCATTTAACAACTCATTTAGTGTTATACTGCCATAGTGTCACCAAATGTTTAGTCATTCACTCTTCAAGTGAGTATTCAAGCTACATTCTGAAAGACAGTAACCTTTACTCATATGTAGAGGTTATGTGCATAGGTAAACACAGCAGGTAATACCCAAAAACGTTGACTGCTCCTTTCCTCCAGATGCTGCCTGGCCTGCTGTGTTCTTCCAGCCTCCTATTTGTCTATCTTAGATTTCAGCATTTTTTTTTATCTCTAACCTTTACTCATACCCTGTTTTTTGAAATGTACAGGAGATGGATCAATCAGAGCGATAATATGTTCACCCCTATTACCCTACAACTGTTACGCTGTGTGGACATTTCTCCCAGAACATCCTGTAGACCCCAGCATTAATTTCCGTCACAATTATAAAGGCATGCATATATGTATAGAGTTCAGGAAGGAAAGCTGTTTAATTGAATGAGTCATGGTTATCATTTAATAAAGGTCATGTTTTTTTGATTGTTGTGGGAGGATAGTACTTTGCAAGAACAGACAAGCTGGTGATATTTGGGGAAGGGGTGCTTGAGGATAGGAAGCCACATGATAAAATACACCCAACCAGAGCTGGCAATACTACAATCCGTCCACTATGGGACAACGAGAAAGCTCCTTTAAAATAAGAAAGTCTCACCAGACCCTTCAATCCTTGGGAATTGCCCCAAGTCTTAACTTCCGGTCCCTTTTTTTATTCATTTGCAGGATGTGGATAATGCTGACAAATGCTGGATACCCCTGTGTCTACACGCGTTTCCTCTGGCTGCTTTTGGTTTCCTCCCACAGTCCAAAGATGTGTAGATTAGGTGGCTTAGCCATGGGGAGTGCAAGGTTAAGGGGATATGGTGGTGTTTGATTTGGGTGGGATATTATTCAGAGATTCGGTGCAGACTTGATGGGCTGAAATGCCTATTTCCACACTTTAGGGATTCTATGGTGGTGGGGGTCAAGCTCACTCCAGTTGGCCTAACCCAGGCTGGCTTTGTGAGCCAGTGCTGTGATGTCATGACACTCTTTGAGGAAGAACAGGGAAATTATTGCAGTATTTATTCATTAACCAATAGATTATCTTTTTTTTTATTTAACCTATTTTTCCTAATCACCCTGTCCAGAGATGTTGCTACACACCTCCGGAGTAGGTGGGACTTGAAGTCAGGCCTCCTGGTCCAGAGACAGGGACATTACCACTGCACTGCAAGAGCCCCTTTGTCCCATTGCTTTTTTGTCGGGAGCTCTGCTGTGTGAAAATCAACTGCCTCATTTCCTACATAAAGCAGTGTATACTTCCAAAGTACTTTATTAGCTGTGAAGTGTTTTGGACTGACTTGAAATCATGAGATTGAAATGATTCTCCCTTGTTAGCAACAGGCAAGCAAGCAGAGTTAGAGTGAGTAATGGCACTTTAAACCCCTCCAGTAATTAGATTCATTAAGTCCAAACTTGCAACAGAATGTCCTAGAGATGAACACACTGAAGGGGAAGTAAATCTCCCTGTCCTGCCCTTTATTCAGGGCTTGGTCTTTGTTACCACCACAACTCACATTCTCATTTGTATTTCCAGCTCTCCTACCTTATTTCCCACACTCCATATTCAGACATGCAAAGTACCATTAATTTACATCTTACTCCATTCCCTATTACTCACATCCCACCCAACAGCTGTTTATATCTTACTCTTGTACTATATGTCTCTCCAAATTCTTCATAATGCTGCATCCTTGTTCTCACCCACCTTCTAATTTAGTTTAAACATTCCCCCAAAAACACTAGAAAATCACCCCAAGAGAACATTGATTCCTGGCTCTGTTCTGGTGAACTCCTGTTGAAGCTAATCCCAATGTCCTGGGAATTTAAAACCCACTCTCCTGCACCGACTCTCCAACAGCCAAGAATTGGCTGCCTGTCTTCCTATTTGCTGAATGCGCTAGTGTGTATGACTGTATCTAAGCCGAAGATTGCTATCTTTGATAAAAACCAAAAGAACTGCAAATGTTGTGAATCAGGAACAAAAACAAAGTTGCTGGAAAAGCTCAGCAGATCAGGCAGCATCTGTGAAGGGAAAAGAAACAGAATTAACGTTTCAGGTCCAGTGCCCCTCAGAACTGATGGTAGCTGGGAAAACGTCAGTTTATATGCAGAAAAAAGGGAGGGGGATGGGGAGGGAGTAAACAATAGCATAGAGCCTAAGGAGAGAGAAGAGCAGTTGGACACACAAAGGAGTTGATAACGATCAGACTGGTTGTTAACTGGTTGTTAATGGGATAACAAGGTGTAGAGCTGGATGAACACAGCAGGCCAAGCAGCATCAGAGGAGCAGGAAGGCTGACGTTTCGGGCCTAGACCCTTCTCTGGTTGTTAATGGGGACTGTTAGTGACTAACAACAGGTGTTGTATAATGGCAGGCTATGTGGTAATAAGGCCTGGTGTGTGGGGTAGGGGGCTGGCACATGGGAGAGTTTAGGTCCATGTCCCATGTCGTGGATATTCTGCGAAGCGATCACCCAGTCTACGCTTTGTTTCCCCAGTTGTCATCTACATTGGGGAAACGATGCGTAGACTAGGTGACCGTTTCGCAAAACATCGACGTTCTGCTCGCAAGAAAAACCCTGAACTACCTGTTGCCTGCCACTTTAACGCACCACCCTGCTCCCCAGCCAACATCTCTGTCTCTGGCTTGCTGCAGTCTTCCAGTGAACATCAACGTGAGCTGGAAGAACAACACCACATTTTCCACTTGGGGACCCTGCAGCCCTCCGGACTCAATGTTGAATTGAATAATTTTAGGGCCTAAACTCTTCCATGTCCCACCCCCCTACCCCACACACCAGGCCTTGTTACCATGTAGCCTGCCATTATACACCACCTGTTGTTAGTCACTAACAGTCCCCATTAACAACCATTCACCCTCCCAGCCTAAATGTTAGCAACTCCTTTGTGTGACCAACTGCTCTTCTCTCTCTTTAGACTCTATCCTATCGTTTACTCCCTACCCCAAGCCCTCCCTTTTTTTCTGCATATAAACTGATGTTTTCCCAGCCACCATCAGTTCTGAGGAAGGATCACTGACCTGAAATGTTAACTCTGTTTTTTTCCTTCACAGATGCTGCCAAACCTGCTGAGCTTTTCCAGCAACTTTGTTTTTATTGCTATCTTTGAGATCCTGCATGCTAGTTTCTTTATAATTCTTTGAAGTCTGCTAACTAGACCCAATCCCACTTTCTTCCTATATCCTTAGTACTGACATGGGCTGCAATATCTGACTGTTTGCCCTCAAAGTGCTCTGCAGTGCTCAGTCACCTCCTTGACCCTAGCACCAGGCTGGCAACACATTATCCAGGAATTACAAATGCAGCTGAGAAACGCTTGTTTGTTGCCCTGACTTTGAATTCTTTATTACCATTTTCCAGTCTTCCTCCACTCCATTATCTCCCCCACTCCATGCAGTTGACCCAGCCATGGTTAAGGGGACTTGGTTCGGGTTGCTGATCCCAGTTGACACATGACCCTCACCTAAACAGAATAGAATACTAGTTGGAGAGTAAGCTGCACTGTGGGGACTCCTGCACTATTATACTAGCCTGGTCCTTCTGGACTGTCTGATGGCTAGGAATTTGCAGGTAATGCTAGTGCCCTGGAAGAGTGTTGTCGAACAGAGACCGATGGGTGCAGGTACATAGTTCCTTGAAAGTGGCTTCAGGTTGGTGAAGAAGGCATTTGGCATACTTACCTTCATCGGTCAGAGCATTGAGTACATTGTGTTAGGACATCATGTTACAGCTGTACAAGACATTAAGTCCACATTTAAAGTACTGTGTACAATTCCGGTCACCCTGCTATAGGAGGGATGTTATTAAACTGGAAAGGGTGCAGAAGTGATTTACGAGGATGTTACCAAGACTGTTTGTTTGAGTTATAAGGAGAGGCTGGATAGGCTGGGACCTTTTTCCCCAGGAGTGTAGGAGACTGAAGGGTGACCATATAGAGGTTTATAAAATCATGAGGGGCACAGATAAGAATAGCCAAGGTCTTTTCCCCAGGGTAGGGGAGTCCATAACTAGCAAGCTTAGGTTGAAGGTGAGAGGCAAGAGATTAAAAGGGACCTAAGGGGCAACTTTTTCACACAAACGGTGGTGTGTGTATGGAATGAGCTGTCAGAAGAAATGGTAGAGGGAGGTACAGTTCGAGCATTTAAAAGACATTTAGAGAGTTACATGGATAGAAAAGGTTTAGAGGGATATGGGCCAAAGGCAGGCAAATGGGACTAGTTTGGATTTGGAAACTTGATTGGCATGGATGAGTTGGACTGAAGGGCCTGTTTCCATGCTGTACGATCTATATTTCTGTGACTGTCTGCCTGTGCATGTTTTATGCTGCAGAGCGACTACATTGATAAACAGGCTTCCTACAAAGCTCTGAGTGGATGAACCACAGTTACTCCAGCTGTTACTTAAAACTAATGTCCAGAGCTGGACCTGCTCCAGCTGACAATGCATTCTGCACACGTGGGAGCCTGAGACATGAAAAGCAAGAATTAGTATTTTTACAGCAGTTTTGGTTGACGGAGAAATGTGAATCTGGCCACCAGCCAGTGCGTCACCGCTCTCCTTCAAACTAATGCAGTTGTTGCAAATCGTCTGACTTCCTGAGAGAGTAGATGGGGCTCTTGATGTCCCATGTAACAATCACAACACTTAACAACAAGGCAACACTCCTTCGGTACTGAATTTTGTGTTCAAATCTCTAGAGAACGAGTGTTAGTACACAGCCAGATTAATATCTTTGAATCTGGCATCAGACTAGCCCAAGGTTGAGTTACTATGGTTACCATTCCCAAGGATTATTCACGAATTCTGTCTGCTGATGACTGTGTTCCACTGACTGCAACTTCTGTGTCTTGAACTTTGGGTGTGAAAACTAATTGTTCGGTGCTCATTTTGATTCCATTTCAGAGACTGTCCCACCTCCAACTGATTTGACTGTGACTTTGAAGGGAATTGGTTTCATTAATTCCACCTGGACGTGGAAACTGCCAAGTTATTTAGAAAACTCCACCAAAGAAATCAAGTTTGAAAGCGTGTTTAAGTATGATGGCGCTGAGTGGGACGTAAGTTGAAATGTTCATTGTCTTTCTTCCCCAGTGTTTGGTGCATTGTAGCTGGGATATGCCTAAGGGCAAGTTCTCTGCTCACTTTACCCTGCCTCACTAGCTTGCACTTGACTGTAGGAGCCTCATTGTTTCAATTTCAAGTTTTCTAACATTGGCATTCTTTCTCCCTCTTCGTCTATAACCCTCTAATTTTCCCTTAGTCATCTCCCTTAGAAAGTTTGCAAGTCTTAGTCTGAAGCCAGTCAATCCTTGTTGCCCTTTCTTGATGATGCTCACTAATGATCTTCCCTCTTTCACCATTCTCACAACTTCTTCATTGTTCTCACAATCTCTCCTCCTGACCCACTCCATCTTTCTGCAGAACGCAATTTTCACATTTTCCAACATTGGTTACCAACTTTTCTCAAGGTGTGTCATGTATATTCTTTCATTTCGATATCCTTTCCCAGATCACATGGTGGATTTGAATGAAAAATCTCCTGTAGCCTATTAGCTTGCATCCTACCAGTATCTCTCTTGCATTGTCATCCAAAGTGACCTAATATCCACATTACTGTCTGGTAATCCAGACACACTCTCAATGAAAACATTCTTTTGATATTGTGTAGAACTTGTCCTTCCCAAATCTAGACCAGTGTCCTCTGCTGCTGCCAGTTTGAAGTGTGTTATCCCAGGCTATTCTAGTATTTTTCTCAGTATCTCCCCTGGCTTCATAAGGAGCCCTATCAGACAGCTTCTGTTGAAAGTTGGGGCATTCTGACTTCTCCACTTTTTTGTCTGTAGCTCTCCCCTCTGAAGCCTACTGTTTACTCTCCATCCGTTACTTCAAAGGCCTATGTTGATGGAAGGGTGATTGAGCTCATGTTTTGGAGCACAAGAATTATAAGCAAGAGTAGGCCATTAGGCCCCTTCAGACCTGCTTTGCCATTCAACACGATCTCCCCAAAGGCCTCAACTCCTCTCTCATGGCAGTTGCTCAGCCCTCAAGTTCTCAATATTTCAAAAATCTATCTACCTCCTCTTTCAATGCTTCCAGTAATCTAATCTCCACAAGTCTCTGCAAAAGAGAATTCTACACATTCACTGGTCTCTGGTAAAAGAAATTCCTTCAACTCTCAGTTTGAGATGATGTCCCATTATCCTGTAACTCTATCCTTTAGTTTGAGATTCTTCCACTAATGATAACATCTTGTTAACATCTACTCTGTTAAACCTCCTTCGAGTCGTGTATGTTTCATTAAGATCACCCCACATTCTTCCAAACTCTTAGGCATAAAGGCCTAACCTGGTAAGCCATTCTTCATAAGTCAATCCCTTCACCTCCTGAATCGGCTTCATGAAGTTTCAATGTGGTACATCCTTTCTTAAACATAAAAGGACCAAAACTACACATTATACTCCAGGTGCAGCCTCAGCCCATACAAATGTAACAAGACTTCCCTATTTATAAACTCGAAGCCCCTAGAAATAAAGGCCAAAGTTCCTTAATTGTTTGCTGCACCTACTTGCTAACTTTTTGAGCATTGTGCACGAAAACACTTATATCTTTGTGTTGCACTTTTGTAACTGTGACTGTCTATTTGATAACAGTCTGACTTTTGATTCTTCCTACCAAAAGTATATGACCTCACACTTCTCCACATTAAACTCCATTTGCCAAGTCTTTGCCCGATCTGTCAATCCATCTGATCCCTTTGCAGATTCCTTAAGTCTTCAACACAACATGCCCTCCCCTATTTTTAAATCTTACTTATAATGTACTCCTCAAATCGATATGATTTGTGACATCAAAAGACAGACACCAGACATCACAGCATTATTCAGTCTGCAGTAGTTAAATTTTGAGTTAAACAGAGTTAATATTTTGAGTCCAATATGACTCTTCTTCAGAATGTTTCAGTTAAGAGTCATATTGGACTTGAAATGTTAACTTCATTTCTCTTTCTATCTGTGCTGCCAGAGCTGCTGAATTTGTCCAGGATTCTCTGTTTTTGATTATTTAAGAATAGGATTAACAGACTTCAAAATAGTCAGGTTAACCCCTATACTTATAATGGGCACATCACACATTATTTGTGGTAAGCAGATCTGCACCCAGTACGCCAGGTATGTTTCAACCAGGACATTGTGCAGTTTGTGTGTTTTATAAGGAAGCCTGAACCTAATGCATGTTGTAATCCAGAGAGTTATTGATATATTGTTTTATTTAGGAAAGAAAAAGAAAGAAAGATATGACTCGTGAAGATAAGGTGATTCTTAATCAAGGAATCACTTTCAGAGTGAAGGCATTGGCGATGAATGGTGGTACATGTCAAGAAAGCAACTGGACTGAGAAATATATCCCTCCTGAAGAAGGTAATGCAAAGTTTTATGTTTTAGATTATTTAACAAAGTCTTAAAATTCATCCTTAAAATAGTTATCATTTCTTGGCCACACGCTTTTTAGATGTTTCAATGGTGACAGAATATGGATTTATATTCACAGATTAGTGAAATAACTATGTGGCTGGTCTCTTTTTTTCTTTTTCTCTCTGTCTAATGAGGCTATTCCTGGGAGGCCAGCATTTATTATATATCTCTAATTGTCCTGGATTTGAATGGCTCAGTGAGCCCGTTTAGAGGACAGTTGAGAGTCATTGCTGTGGACTTGGATGACCAGCCCAGTGATGCTAAGTGTCCTCAAGTCCAACAGACGCAAGCTTGACAAGATATGACAAACAAGTAGTTTTGTCAGAGCCATCCATGGCCTTGTCTCTCCTGGTCTCTGTAGTCTCCTACAGCCTGAGAATTCTGTAGGATATCTCTTCCAGTTCTGGCCTCCTGGACATCCTCAATTTTAATGACTCCCCATTGGTGGCCATGCCTTGAGCAACTTCTTCCCAAAACCCCTCCATCTCTCACTCTTCCTTTTTGAAGGCAGCATGACAGGTAGATAAGGTAATTAAGAAGGCATCTGGGATAGTTCTGAAGCACCTACCTCTTTGACACCTGGCACTCTTTGGTAACCTACGTTCTTATTTCCTTTATATGGTTCAGTATCTTACGTATTCTAATTGCACTTCTGCGAAGCACCGTAGGACAATTTACCGTGTTAAAGATACTTCATGAATACAATTTCCTGTCGTTCAGTGTTGTTTATGTGAGTCAGAAGCTTTAAAGGCAACAGGTATTTGAACCTTGTGCTCAAAACAATTCCTCAGATCTGGCCAAATCCCTGAGCTAGCACTTGTGGCCTTTCCTGTTAGATGTGTTGAATGTTCATGTTTCAATATTGTTCAAGTTTGGAAACTTGTTTGAAAGTGGAAGAGCCATGTATATATTTGTTTTGTTTTCTATTTGTAGACATTGTGTGTTAGGATGGTAAAACATTGTATTAGTTCCATTTTTGTGTTTTGCTGGAGGCACTTGCCTGTGTGGAGTTCTGCTCAGTTGCATGTTCATGCTTTTTAAAAGTCTTGAGGTGAATAGTTCAGTGCATTAGAAACAAAGGTAAAAGAGGAAAAAATGGACTGTTGTCCCATGACACTGAGAGACAGACAGTAGTAATTTAATTTGGAAAGCAAGTGTACATGTTTCTTTCAGAGAATCATAGAGTCATAGAGCTGTACAGCATTGAAACAGACCCTTCAGTCCAACTCGTCCATGCTGACCAGATATCTCCAGGGCAGAAAAAAAAGAATTCCTGAGTGTCATAGAAATTGGTAAGAAAAGCTCCAACAATGGAGGGATTGTCAGAGAGGAAAGCATCCTACAAGACAGCTAAATGCACTAATTTAAGAAGCTTATCATGGAGTCAAAAAACATCAACCTAACCCAAAACATCAACTTTCCCAATCCTCTGCTGCCTGGCTTGCTGTGTTCCTCCAGCTCCATACTGTGTTGTCTCTGACTCCAGCATCTGCAGTTCTTGCTATCTCCATCTATTCTAATCCCATTTCCAATCATTTGGCCCATAGCCTCGTATGCAATGGCATTTCAAGTGTTCATCTAAACACTACTTAAATGTCTTGAGGATTCTCACCTTTACTATCTTTTAGGCGGTGTGTTCCAGATACCCACGAAACTCAATGCTTTTTTCTTAAATCCCCTCTAAAGTTCCTGTTCCTTACCTGAAAACTGTGCCCCCTGATTACTGATCAATCTATGAAGACGAAAAGGAATCAAACCCAGGTCTCTGGTGTTATGAGGCAGCAGTGCTAACCACTGAGCCATCGTGCCACCCTGGAGTCATCCTGGAGTGTAAAGCTTTCCTCTTCGCTATTTACCACACCATCAATGTTCATGTCATCTATGAACTTACTTGTTCAGTAATTGACCACTTGCAATAACTAAATAGCAAAAATAAAAGTTATGATCGATCAAGCCAGGTTTTGCTTTGCGGCTCTGACTTGTCCAGTATCACCATCAGCTGGGATGATTACAATGACTTACATTACAAATATGGCTGCTCGCTGCCTGTGAAGTGAAACTTTGCCATTGTCCACTTAGTGTTCTAGCCAGCCTTATGAAGATGGTGATAGCTGTGGTTCAATGGGTTTCTGTCCCATAATCAAGTTCATAAAATCCCTACAGTGTGGTAACAGGCCATTTGGCTCAACAGGTACACACCACCCATCCAAAGAGCTTCCCACCCAGACCCATTCACCTACCCCTGCATTTTACCATACTAACCCAAACATCTCTGGACACTACAGGCAATTTAGCATGACCAATCCACCTCCCCTGCACGTCTTTGGACTGTGGGAGGAAACCAGAGCACCCGGAGAAAACGCACGCAGACATGGGGAGAATGTGCAAATTCCACACAGACAGTCGCCTGAGGGTGGAATTGAACCCAGGTCCCTGGCACTGTGCAGCAGTAGTGCTAACCACTGAGCCACCGTGCCACCCTGATCACACTAATCCAGACTGCCAGAGAGAGTGCTATCTTCCAGACAAGGCGAAACGATGTTATGCCCTCATTTGAGAGAGGATGGACATCCTCCCACCAACAAACCTGAAAACAGATCATTTCATCATAGTGACAGTGTCACTTTGGGGGCCTTGCTATGTGCAAATTGCCTGCCATGTTTCCTAAACTCCAGAAAATCATTACACTTCACAAGTACTTTCTTCATTAGAACGTACACTGGGACATCTCTACAATGTGGAAGACATTTTGTAAACGTGAGTCTTTATCCCCAGGCATGCATTCCAAATGGCAATGCTGTTTCACATTCAGTTGCCCCTTCTTATTTACTAGATAAGGGACCTGCAGTTCCCTAGTTTATTTATTGCCACTGGCTCTCTTCCAGACCAATGGGGCCATCCCCATATAAATTGACTTCCTCTTGATGACCGTTAGAATTTCATGGGTTTTGCCCCTAGGCCATTTATTACTGTGAGACTTATCTGTGAAAACATTCTTGCAGTACTGGAATTCTTCCAAACCAATGTACCATAAAAAAGCAGTTTACAGAAGCACATTGGGCCTGCTATAACCTGAATGCAGATGGAGTTCATTCTGTCTGTGCTAGCAATTTGAAAGAAGTACCCAATATGTTCTGCTTCTCTGGTCTTTAGGGTTTTTTCATGGCTTTTATTCAATTCCCTTTTATAAATTATCACTAAATCTGCTTTCACGACCTTTCATGCAATGGACTCAAGATCATAACATACACCGACAATACGATACTTTTATCCTTTTTTTTGTCTAGCTGTCACTAATATGCCTGCTAGCAGAATCCGTTTCTCCTTCATTACTCTGTCAAAAGCTTTCATGATCGTGATTGTCTCTGTAGACCTACTCTTAGCCCTTCTGCTTGAAGGAGAATGCGTACATATTTTCTAATCTCTCCGTGTAGCTCCTCCAAAACTTCCAATTCCCTGGTCCCCAACACCTCATCTTTACCAAGGAAGTCCAGTTCCTATACACCTGCATTCCCCATGCAGATGGCCTAAAGGCCCTCCGCATCTTCCTGTCCCACAGGCCCGACCAGTCCCCCTCCACTGACACCTTCATCCGCTTAGCCGAACTCGTCCTCACCCTCAACACTTCTCTTTCAATAACTCCCACTCCCAAAGGGGGTGGCCATGGGTACCCGCATGGGCCCAAGCTATGCCTGCCTCTTTGTAGGTTACATGGAACAATCCCTCTTCCGTAGCTACACTGGCCCTAAACCCCACCTCTTCGTCCATTACATTGATGACTGTATCGGCGCCGCCTCATGCTCCCACGAGGAGCTCAAACAGTTCATCCACTTCACCAACACCTTCCACCCCAACCTTAAGTTCACCTGGACCATCTCTGATATCTCTCTCTCCTTCCTGGACCTCTCTGTTTCCATCTCTGGCAACCACCTGGAAACTGATATCCATTTCATGCCCACCGACTTCCACAGCTACCTAGAATACACCTCCTCCCACCCACCTTCCTGCAAAAATGCCATCCCCTATTCCCAATTCCTTCGCCGCATCTGCTCCCAGGATGAGGCATTCCACTCCCGAACATCTCAGATGTCCTCGTTTTTCAAGGACCGCAACTTCACCCCCAACCCCCCAGTGGTCGAGAACACCCTCGACCGTGTCATCCGCATTTCCCGCAACTCATTCCTCACACCCCCTCCCCACAATAACAACCAAAACAGAATCCGCCTCATCCTCGCATACCACCCCACCAACCTCCGAATCCAACACATCATCCTCCGACACTTCTGCCATCTACAATCCAACCCCACCACCAAAGACATTTTTCCCTCCCCACCCTTATCTGCTTTCCGGAGGGACCACTCTCTCCGGGACTCTCTTGTCCGCTCCACACTCCCCTCCGGCCCCACCACACCCGGCACTTTTCCCTGCAACCGCAGGAAGTGCTACACCTGCCCCTACACCTGCACCCCCACAACCGCATCCCAGGCCCCAAGAAGACTTTCCACATCAAGCAGATGTTCACCTGCACATCTGCTAACGTGGTATACTGTATCCGCTGTTCCCGTTGTGGCCTCCTCTACATCGGGGAAACTAAGCAGAGGCTTGGGGACCGCTTTGTGGAACACCTACGCTCGGTTCGCACTAAACAACTGCACCTCCCAGTCGCGAACCATTTCAACTCCCCCTCCCATTCCTCAGACGACATGTCCATCCTGGGCCTCCTGCAGTGCCACAACGATGCCACCCGAAGGTTGCAGGAACAGCACCTCATATTCCGCTTGGGAACCCTGCAGCCCAATGGCATCAATGTGGACTTCACAAGCTTCAAAATCTCCCCTCCCCTTACCGCATCCCAAAACCAGCCCAACTTGTCCCCGCCTCCCTAACCTGTCCTTCCTCCCATCTATCTCCTCCTCCCACCTCAAGCCCCAACCCCATCTCCTACCTACTAGCCTCATCCCACCCCATTGACCTGTCCGTCCTCCCTGGACTGACCTATCCCCTCCCTAACTCCCCACCTACACTCACCTTTATTGGCTCCATCCCCGCCTCTTTGACCTGTCTGTCTCCTCTCCACCTATCTTCTCCTCTATCCATCTTCTATCCGCTTCCCCCTCTCTCCCTATTTATTTCAGAACCCCCTTCCCCTCCCCCATTTCTGAAGAAGGGTCTAGGCCCGAAACGTCAGCTTTCCTGCTCCTCTGATGCTGCTTGGCCTGCCGTGTTCATCCAGCTCTACACCTTGTTATCTCTTAATCCAGCATGTCTGGTCCCTTTCTTGTAAATCACCTCTGTTCCCTCTGTCAGACCTGGAGATTCTCTTCATAGTGTGGCGCCAGAACTTGGTATAATACTGCAGCTGATACCTACCAATTTAACTTAATTTGCTTGCTTTTTGATTCTTGCCCTTTATTTATAAACCTGGGATCATGTGCTTTCTTTTTAAACATGTTTATAGTTTTCTGTATTTGGGCCCGCAGACCTTTCTGTTCCCATGGGCCAATTACAGGGGAGGCGATAGCCTAGTTGGGCGAGGCAATGGCTTAATGGTATTATCGCTGTATGATTTGTCCAAAAACCCAGATAATGTTCTGGGGGCCTCGGTTCAAATCCCACTACAACAGATGGTGGAATTTGAATTTGAATTCAATAAATATCTGGAATTAAGAATCTAATGATGACCATGAATTGATTGTCAAGCAAAAACCTACCTGCTTCACAAATGTCCTTCAGGGAAGGAAACTGCCATCCTTACCTGGTCTGGCCTATATGTGACTCCAGTCCCACAGCAATGTTGTTGACTCTTAACTGTCCTCTGGGCAATAAATGCTGCCTAGCCAGTGATGCCCTCATTCCTGTGAATAAATAAAGAAAAAAACATTCTAACTTTTAATTTGCATTACCTGTTGTCCCAAGACATCAATAGATATCTCTTTGCAATGTTATAATTCTAGCTACAAGGCTTAAAATGCCATGTGGCACTGCATCAGTTTCAAAGTTAGAGATGAGGTTCTCCATCCATCATCTCAGCTGTGAATAAATACAGTGAATAATTGAGGTCTGTGCTGTGTCTGTCTTGTGGTGAGTATGTTGGTATGCCTTTAAGAGATTTGTTCATGATATGATCACTGTATCATAGCACATGATCTGAAAGTATAAAAGACTCAGACTCCATTTTTACCATATGAAATATGACACACTAATGGAAGCATGCTGTGTTGTAAACTAATAACTTAATGCAAACCCAGACTCAGAAACAGCAGAGAAATATTATGATTGTATATAATGATTAATTGGACTGAATGTCTACTGGAATTTTCAATACAATACCCCACACCCAGTTCCTTTGTTATGGGAGATAACATAAAACATTGCCACATCAGGCAAAAATCCTGTGGAGGGCAAGTTCTTGCTATTGCCTGTTCTCAAGATTAATGGTTTCCTTTTCACAACATCCAACACCAGAGATTTGTGATCTTTCTGCTGTTCACTCTGAGCCGTTAATGAATATCAGCCTTTTAGGAAAGATTTATTTACATTTAAAATATACAGGGGTCCCCAATTTATGAGCATCTGACTTTTGAACACACATAGGAAAGCGATCCCTTACCGAGGTGTAATTTTAAATATCCAACATACAAATGTTTCTTGCACTTACAAATGGTTGCCTTATTATGTCCTGCATTGTGTTTCAACTTGAGTTCAGATTGACATGCAAACAGACTTGGAAACAGAACATGTTCCACCTATATGGAGAAATCAAACGGTACAAGAATGACTAGCAGTGCAGTGCTTAATTGGGAGCTCTTTCAATTGGCCACTGTCTCTATGAGGAATTTAAAACAGAACCTGATCCAGATGCATAGATTTCTGCTAAAACATCAGTGCCAATTTTGAGAACCTTGAGGGAAATTCTTCAGGGAACAGTTCAGAACTTCTGAGATCCTAGTGGAAACCAAAATGCAGCAGATTTCAAAATGAAACAATGCATGAGAAAGTGGGGGGCTTATAATGTTTCTCCAGTTTTAAGTCTGAACTAGGCCCATCTGAAGATCCTGTAATTATCAAGCAAATAAAATTGTAACCACTTCGAATCTTAAAGAGTTGAACAGTGGTATCATTACCATCTGTGGATTGTTTGTTTGTGATACCCAACCACCTCTTGTGACCATGTTTTTTGGCAGGATTAAGTCAGCTTCTGAGCTCATCATTTCATGATTTCATCTCCTTCTTTCTGCAAATTTTCACCAAAGGGCTAGTCCCAAACATTGTATAAAAACCAAAAGAACTGCGGATGCTGCAAATCAGGAACAAAAACAAAGTTGCTGGAAAAGCTCAGCAGGTCTGGCAGCATCTGTGAAGGAAAAAAGTTAACGTTTCGGGTCCGGTGACCCTTCCTCAGTACTCTTTTCTCCTTCACAGATGCTGCCAGACCTGCTGGGTTTTTCCAGCAACTTTGTTTCTGTTCCTTGTTTTTAGTCCTAAACATTTACTGGCATTATGATGCCATGGCTAAAGTACATGTTCAAAGATAAGGTGAATCCAAAGTCAATCTTTAATTTCACCATCCAGAAATATTATATAGGCCAATTCAAAATCAGATTTTGAAACCAAAACTTGCTCAGTAAGTCCTTCAAAAGGAACAACTAAAGACACAGCACAGTGGGTATTTTGTGATGGAATGTGAATGAAATCATAGAATCCCTACAGTGTGGAAACAGGCCTTTCAGCCCAACAAGTCCCTCAGAACATCCCACCCAGACCCATCCCTCAAACCCACCTAATCTACACATCCCTGAAAGCTAGGGGCAATTTAACATAGTCAATCCACTTAGCCTGCACGTCTTTAGATTGTGGGAGGAAACCGGAGTACCTGGAAGAAGCCCACACAGACACAGGGAGAACGTGCAAACTCCACACAGTCAGTCATCCGAAGGTGGAATTGAAGCCATGTCCCAGGTGCTGTGAGGCAGCAGTGCTAACCACTGATCCACCGTGCAAAACCCCCCTTCTACTGGGGGTTTGGAGTTTGAAATCAAGTTAAATGATTGTTAGCCCATCCTCCTTCACAGTTAAGTAGCATGATTCCAAAGTCAGAAGGGGAAGTGAAGCTGAAAAACATGAGAATGATAGACCGGAATAGTACCTAAACCAATAATCTTAGCAGCTGTTTCATGTACTCCCTTTTTGAGTGCTATGCTGAGCATGAACAAATTTGGATCACTATGGGATGAATGTTCCAGCAACGTTAGGCTCTTAACTAAATCTGCTTTATTACTCATTACTGAATTTAATGTGGCATTCCCCCCATTTCAATTTGAGTACAGCAAAACAGTCCCCTCTATATTCAAAGCAGGGCATAGAGAATCAGGGGTTTGAAGTGCTGTCCAAGTGTTTAATTGATAACCTGGCCAGAATACCCGACTGTGGCAATGTCCAGTCATTGTTACTGTGCTCAAATTGCTGAGGCCAGTTCAAAATGAGTGAATGACTTTTAGATTTCACGTTTCAGATTGGAGAAAACTCAAGGCCCTGCTTTTTTTGATTTAGAAGCTCATTTTGCATTTGTGGCAGAGCTGGGTTCTGAGAGTTTTCTTGGTACACAAAGAAGATGATGTTTTGAATGAGAGCACACAAGAGAGCCCTGAATCGGCCATGATCTTGGCAAATTTTATATCCTGTTACTATGCTTCTGATGTCTCCTTGACCCTTTTTCCTGTTATTTTCCTCTTGCAGGTGATGCCAACACTGCTGCCAGGAACTTCAGCTGTATTTTCTACAACTTAGAATATATAAATTGCACTTGGGACATTGGAAGTAAGACACCAGCTAACACAGTGTATAACTTCAATTACTGGTAAGGGAGTATTAAATCTTTAAATGGTGAGGATGAGTTTTACCCTGGTGTGTATATATATGCATGCAAGCTAAATATGCTTTGTGATCACGCAGGCAAAAGGGCATGGATGTCATTCAGAACTGTACCAGTTACATATCAAAAGATGGCAGATTGAACGTTGGTTGCCACCTTCAACGTGATCAATTCGATGATGAACAGGACTTACATATTTGTGTCTCAGGAAAAAGTTCTTATGCAAAGATAAAGCCGTTCTTCTATAATCTGGAAGCTGCGAGTTTTGGTAAGTTGCACGTGTGCTGCCATCAATAGAATGAGGCTGGATTACTTAGTGATTGCCATATGCACCAGCAAATTAATGCTGAGATATCTCTGGAAAAGATTTTTAATCTGTAGCCCAAATATATGACAGCAGCATCGCTGACAGTGCAGCGCTCCCTCAGTACCGACCCTCTGACATTGTGGCACTCCTTCAGTGCTGAGCCTTTGAGATTGCAGCACTCCCTCAAAGCTGACCCTCTGACAGTGCAGCACTTCCTCTGTACTGACCTTCCTAGATTGTGGCATGCCCTCAGCGCTGACCCTCTGACAGTGCAGCGCTCCCTCAGCGCTGACCTTCCTACATTGTGGCACGCCCCCAGCACTGATCCTTTTTCCTCTGACAGTGTAACCCTATCTATGAATTGCACTGAAGGTTCAGCCTAAATTCATTTGAGGGTCCGACCAGTGAGACATGAGCTGTTGTCAACAGCAAGCAAGTGATCTTTACAGCTAGTTGGCAGGTCATAAATCAACATTTACAACATCATGTTCTCTCTCTGCCCGCCCCACTCCAGTCTGTTTTTTCCCAGTCTGCCAGTTAGACACGCCATTGTTCTGCCATTCTCACATTCTGATCACTTAATCTGCATAATCAGCACCCTTTCTCCCCCAGCACTCCACCTTGCACCCCCACCATTGCATAAGTGCTGCCCCCTCCACGCATCTACATCAGTTTGCTCTCTCTCCATGGATGCTGCTTGACCCGTTGTGGGTACCAGCATTTTTTGTTTTCAGTAGAGATTCCAGCATCTGTAATAATTTGCTCGTACATAAATTAACATTTCTTTGACTGTCTGGATAGTTGAGTGGAAGAATACACTGTCTACTCACCTCCAAGACTTTGTATCAAATCCAAATGAGATTGTTGGATTAGAGAATGTTTTATAGTCCTTTTTAAGAATTGCAAGCAAATTGAATCGGATCACTGTTGAATCCCATTACTTAAGAGAAAAAGTACCTCAAGCAGCAGACTGTGTTCAACAATGCACTTTGTATTAATAAATGTTTTCATTATTGTGAAATCATTTGCGAAAGATTTAAAAGGGACCTAAGGAGCAACCTTTGGCTGGTACAAGTACAACATTTAAAAGGTATCTAGATGGGTACGTGAATAGGAATGGTTTAGAGGAATATGGGCCAAATACTGGCATTTGGGACTAGATTAATTTAGCATATCTGGTCAGCATGAACAAGTTGGACTGAAGGGTCTATTTCCATGCTGTACGGCTCTATGACTCTATCACTAAGCCAGTGAGAAACATTAATTTCATTGATATGAGTGGAGGTTTTACCATGCAAATACCATTTATAGGATGAATCAGTTGAAATATCTATGTTGTTCTTGACAATTATTCTTTTACCAGTCTTTAAATCAGTAGATTGACTCCACCTCCATACCAATGTTTAAACATTCTCACGCAGGAACATAACCACTGACACACAGGCAGACAAAGCAAACAGAGTAGAAGGGAAGGTGGTGGCATGGTGGTCATCTCACTGGGTTTGTAATTCAGCACCACAGCTAATGCCATGGGGGCATGGGTTCACATCTCTCCATGGTGGATTGTGAAATTCTGGAATAAAAGGCTAGCCTAATGAAAATCATGTGTTCACTATTGATTGTTGTATAATCTTATTTGATTTACTAATGATCTTTAGAGAAATCTATCCGTCATCCTTACCTGGTCTGGCCTACGTGTGACTCCAGGCACATCGCAATGTGGTTAATTATTTGTGTCGTAAATTCGAGTCTAGCCAGCAACGCCCACATCCTGTAAATGAATTAAAAAAATGAGAAGTCAGATGACGTTGACATACTGAGCAATGTTGATTATTAGAACTATCACCCACTGCTACTTCGGATTACCTGTAAATGCCTGAGAACTGGGACTTTGGCTAGGAGTACTCTAAGCAACCAAAGAACATCATACAGGATTCCCAGCTAACTCTTGGTATGAAGACTTGCATTTATGCAGCAATTTACACAACCTCAGGGTGTCCCAAAGCACTTACAATTAAGTACTTTTTTGGTGTAGTTACAGTTGCAACATAGGAATTTGAGCAGTTCAGATGTGTACAGCAAAATCCCATGAACTGTCATGAAATAATGACCAGACAATATCTTTCTGAGATTTTGGTTGTGGGATACATTTATAGATGGGTCAGAGCTCCAGGGAGAACTCTTCTCCTCTTTGTATAATGCCAAGGGATCTTTGTATCACCTAACTATTTGTCCACAACCCACTGTCTCTTAAAGGGGCATTGTGATGTTGATTACGTTTCTGAGCTAGTAATCCAGAATGTGTATTTAAAAGGAGTAAAAACCACCATAACTCTTCAAATGGTCAATGCAACTAATTCTCTAACGCTGTTTTGTGACAAAGAATCTGCCATTCCTAAACTGGCCTGGCCAATGTGACTTCAATCTCACATCGACGTGATGGTCTCTTAATTGGCCTTTGGATTGGCACAGCAAGGAATTCAGTTGAATTAAAATTTCTACAAAGAAGGTTCACCTACATCTGTGGGCAGCAATGATGGCTGTTAAATGTTAGTCTTCCCATATCCTGATCATAAATAACAAAAATCAAATTTGGCTAATGGGCTATGTCTGAGGCGCAAGTTATGAACTGAGGTGTTCCCAATCACTGAAAAATTGAAAGTTGTGTGCAGTCAGCACCTGTCTGTTGTTTTATATCTCAGTCTTAATGTCAGTATACCATAAAGAGACACAGTATATATATGTAGGTTTGAGAGATGCTCATGGTATCTTCACTGCATCAGAGCATTTGATCTGACAGGACAAAGATTTCATTCTCCATCTTAGCTCAGATCACTTGAAGCATGACACTCTACTGAGTCCCATGCAACCTGATAGGTTAATATTAACCCAAATGCTTATGTGTCTGAGGAATGTAATATTTGTACCTAATTGCAGTAATAAACATCTGTTGGGTTCTTCAATACCGATTCCTCATGTTATGAGAGATAACATAAACATTACCACGTTAGATAAAAACACCCTGCCAGAGGCAGACTCTCGCTAGTGCCTGTTGGTGTAAGTGAAGTGCCAGGAATTAATGGCCCAGTGGCATTAGCTGGTGCTGTTTGTTGCTGCCTGTCTGTGTAGCACCTGTTCAAGGTTACCAATTTATATGAAATTGAATAAGGCTATTTCCAAAGTAGCAAAAGATCTAAATCTGTCCTCACTTGAAGCAGTAGCTCAACTAGTGGAGTCTTGTATTATAATGACGTTGTACAGTTCTGCTAATGTTTGTATTTGCAGGGTAACATTGAGTCTCATAATGTTGATATGTTCCACTCCATTTTAGTGCAATTGTCCCCTCCTTGGGGAATCAACATTTCAAAGATGGGCAAAGTGTTTCGGATCAACTGGAGTCCAGCTGCTCACTGGAACCAAAAGTGTGTGATATATGAAATTAGAAGGAGGAGCATCATGAGCAGTGATTGGATTGTTCACGAGGTGAGCATCTCTGTCATCGAGGCATGGCTGATTATCTGGTCGTGGGAAGAGCCTGCACAGCAAGATTTTTAACACAAGGCTGTTGTGGTGAGGAAGCTATCATAGGGTTCTAACTGACTGGGAAACTCTGTCACATTAAACGCCTACCACAAGCAAGGGTTCACAGTTTGAATTCAGTTCACAAAGGCAGGCCACCGCCATTCCAGCTGGGGACTCCCAAGAATACGGGGAAATCCAGACGGTATGTGATGACGGGCCTCAGTTGGCACTTTAATTGGCTGAAGAATCTACCCGCCTCTGGGGGCAAGTAGGTATCACCCTTCTGTAGCCATCTTCCCAAAAATAAGCTGGAAGAGGCGAGCAGTCCAATTCACTGGACCTCCACCCTGAAAAATGTTATTACACCCATTTGCAGATACATTTCCAAAACTGCCCAATGTTTCATTTACCAAGTCCTTTTAGAGATGCAAGTTGTTTTCTCTGATTTGTTCACTGGTCAGGAAGGTAAATGTTGACAGCAGCATTTTATAATCACCTCTTACCCTTCTCTTCCAGTGAAGTCACGACCAATGTGAGTCATAGCTCCTTACAATCCAATCCTTCAGTTCTTTCAAAAACTTTTGTAGAGTGGTGACCAGAACTCTACACAATATTCCACATGGAGTCACAGTGTTAATTTATGAAATAACAAGATTATCTAATTACTTGTCTCAATATTGACCATTTAGCACCCTCCCACTTGAATGTCTCATGTCCCTAACTCACCATTTTTCAGATGGATTAAATTTATTGTCTTTTAGGAGCTCCAGATTGCTCTCATTTTCCATGCACGTTATTTATAAAATTAGCACATGCCTTTTTTTTGGTTAATCATCATCAAGCTTTCTTCCTTCAAGACCTCCAACCCAGAAATGAAAATTCCCGACGCAGACCCGAATGTTGAGAATGTAGTGCAGGTACGGGCGAGATACAACATTTGCGGAGACGATGGCATCTGGAGTGAATGGAGTGAAGAGGAATACTTCGGTAAGAGAAACATTGCCGTATGTCCAACTCCTGACTTCAAGAGTGAAGTGTAAACTTGGAAACCGAAAATCACAATTTTTCAAAGGTTATCAAGTGGATTGTACCCCTTTGAAGAAGATCAGGGAAGTTATCACAAGAGTCTTGATCAACATTTATCTCTCAATCAACATTGCAGGAACCTTCTCATTATCACCTTGCTCTTTGATACTGTTGTGTGTAAATTGGATTTTTCTGACTCCTATAATACAGCAGTGACTACACTACAAAACTACTTGACTTAGGATGTATTGTGGTTGTGGAAGGTGCCATATGTTTTAAACCTGCACTATGGATGAAGCCTAGTTCTCCCTTGTCCTGCTTCCTTGTGCCTTTGGGGATCGGGTTTAGAATTTGCTCACCGTGTAAGGCAATTCTGTGAGCTGCCTGATACTGTGCCCTTCTGCAAACTGGAAGATGCTACTGATATCTCCAACAGCAGCCTGGAAAAAGTCAGTGACAGGAAGGTTAAGCGTAATGGCGACCCTCTGAGCCACAGGGAGTACTGTCCATGTCCTGGTATGAGGTGGGAGTTTGTGCTGCAGTGGGTGTTTGAGCTCCTTAATGAAGGGAAGGTATCTGATACAGGTTTCTGTTGGAGTGGGACCTCTCTCAAGAGCCTCAAATGGCCTGTTCCCTCTGTTCTGCCGTAATTGCTGCTTGAAGCTGTTTGGCAGACTTACCAGAGAGCCATCAATGGTTTTAGTGACTGATACATACAGGCCTAAACTAGTTAAAAACTCTCAACAATCAAACTGAGCTTCCAAAAGTCATGGCCAGTCAACAACCTGACTTGACAAACTTATAAGCTCTGCTCTGGCCCTTTTAACTAACAATGAGGAAAGATGCTTCCTACCTGATAGTGCTGTGATGCTGAGTAAGCTTACCACAAGGCAAATCAGGTACTGGAGAAAACGAAAATCAAGAGGCACAGGGCATCTTTTTACTTAAGTTACATATTGCTTTAAATAGCTCTTAAATATGCAGTGGACACGTAGAGAGAAATCCAATTCCATTTGGCAAACAGCAGTCATGTTTGAAAATTTCCCTGGTCTTCCTGCCCATTTTGGAATTGTGGACACCATTTAGCAAACCAAACCAACAATGGGAGTTTAAAGTTTTGGCAAAGATCTGTAGCTCGGGTTGCAGGTGAGGTTGTTGACTTGTTCGCCAAGCTGACATGTTCTCGTTCAGACGTTTCATCACCATGCTAGGTGACATCATCAGTGAGGCCTCTGATGAAGCAATGTTGTCCTACTCCAATTGGAATTTATACCGTCTGGTCCATTATGGTGAGTAGTGTCATTTCCGGTTTTGATCTGTACAGGTTTGTATATGGGATCCAATTCTATATGTTTGTTGATGGCATTACAGGTGGAGAACCATGCCTCTAGGAATTCCCATGCGTGCCAATGTTTGGCTTGGGCCACTATGGGCTAATCAACAAACATGTAGAATTGGACCCATACTTGGACGAAACACTTGAATGAGAACAAGCCAGCTCAGCGAGCAAGTCAACAACCTCAACAATGGGAGTGCCACAGTCATTAAATCCTTACAGTGCAGAAAGAGACCATTTGGCCGATCCAGTCGACACTGACCCTCTGAAGTACACCTTACCCAGACTCACCCCATCCTCGTAATCCCTTGGTCTTGATTTATTGTGACCTAAAGATTTAATATTTAATTGGTGGTATAGTAGACAGTAAGGATGATTATTTAAGATTACGAAGAGAACTTGGGCCATCATTTGAGGCCAAGGAGTGGCAGATGGAGTTCAATTTCATTAAATGCGAGGTGTTGCATTTTGGTGAGATGAACAAGGGCAGGACTTACACAGTTAATGTTAGGGCCCTGACGAGTGCTGTCGAACGGAGAGATCTAGGGGTTCAGGTACATAGGTCGCTGAAAGTTGCGCTACAGGTAGACAGGGTGGTTAATAAGGCGTTTAGCATGCTTGCCTTCATTGCTGAGACCATTGAGTATCGGAATTGGGATGTCATGTTACAGCTGTGTAGGACGTTGGTGAGGCCACTTTTAGAGTACAGATCTGGTCGCCTTCCTATAGGAAGAATGTTATGAAATTGGAGAGAGGTCAGTAAAGAATTACCAGGATGTTGCTGGGACTGGAAGGTTTGAGTTATAAGGAGGTTGGATAGGCTGGGACATTTTTCACAGGAGCATAGGTGGTTTGGGGTGACCTTACAGAGGTTTATAAAATCATGAGGGGCATAAATAAGGTGAATAGCAAATGTCTTCTCCCTGGGATCGTGGAATTCAAAACTAAAGGGTATGGGTTTAAGATGAGAGAGGAGGGATCTAAAAGGGACCTGAGGGGCAACCTTTTCACACACAGGATGGTTCATATGAGGAATGAACTGCCAGAGGAAGCAGTAAATACAAGTACAATTACAACACTTTAAAGGTATTTGGACAGGTACATGAATAGGAAAGGTTTAGAGGGATATGGGCCAAATGCAAGCAAATGGGGCTAGTTTAGTTTAGGAAACTTGGTCAGCATGGTTGAATTGGTGTGTTTCTGTGTTGTATGACTCTTTGACTCTAAATATCTAATGATGTGAATCATGTGGTTTTGATGACAGCACTATCTCTCTGTGAATAAAACTGATATTTCTCACAGGAGAAGACATTGGGCCAGGTTGGAATTGGAAAATTGCTTTACTCATCATTATCCCTATCCTGGTGGCAGCCGCTGCAATCACACTCCTTACCTACCTGAAACAGTAAGAGCTTTCCATCCTGGTTTCTAAAACATCTCTTTTTAACTCCTTTATAAAACATCAATCCATTTTCTAAGAACAGACAAAAGCCTCCGGGTGCAGATAAAAAAATATGTGGCATTAAGAAAGCATAGTGAGAGGAGTTATTTCATAATAACTAAGAAGCAGGCTTAGCATCTCTGATATGAAGCCTAACAGGTTGCTGAGTGGCTATTTGGAAAATGAGAACACAGAGGACATAATAAAGGGCTTAAGGTTAGAGGAGTACTAGGAGGGAAATGATTAGACCAGATAGCAGAGAGTTAAATTCTGAGGATAGGTTGCATTAATATGTAATAAAGGAGGTCGAGGTGAGATCTGGTCGAAGTGTTGAAAATTTCGAAAGGATTTGGTAGAGTGGATACAGATAATCTATTTCCTTGACAGACCAAAGAAGATATAGTCTTTAAATTAGAGCATGACTATTCAGGAGGGGAAAGAACACTTACATTCACCCAGAAATGTGGAATTCTTGACCCCAGAATAGTTGTAGATACCAGAGTGCTGTTGGAACTCTTTATCATAAATGTGATTGATGGTATTTGTTTGGAAGATAAGCAAAGGCTAGGAGGGAAAGGCAAATGGAAAGGAGGGATAGGTCATGATACAAGGGGCTGAATGGCCTTCTCCTGCATCTTATTCTAGACTGTACTTTCCATAATTCGGATTTGGACCAGTTCGACAAAATAATCTGAATGAATTTCTTCTGTTAGCTTGACTAACCACTAGCAGTGTCGTCTTTTATTACTGAAGTGTATTGATAGGTATGACATATTGTTTGTGTAGTGACTACCTCACTTTACATTCTGCTAACTGATGTGTCACTTCTTTTTAAGACTTCAGATCTTGATCCTGCCACCAATCCCTGATCCAGGAAAAATTTTTAAAGGCATGTTTGGTGACTCCAGTGGAAATGATGTGGTAGGTTAACAATAGGTTGCTTTCATTCTCTAATTGCAATGGGAAAGGAAATTAGAGTCATATCAGTACTGCACAGGAAATCAGAATCCGAAAATGCACAGATTTCCTGAGGGCTGAAGTACAAAGATAGGGAGGGATGAGTGTCCCAGTTTGCCCTTGACTGACTTCCACATTTGACTGCATTTCAAAAGTGCTTCACTGGCTATAAAGCCCTGGAATGACCTCTGGTTTTGAAAGGAGCTATATAAATGCAAGCCATTCTGTGGAAACCCCTTGAAATAACTCTGCAGAGGCCATTATCCTGTCAGTAAATTATGCTTTATTTATACATGGAGAGTCCTTGACACTGATCCAGCTCCGTCAGAGTGAGCTCTCAGAGTGAACAGATCTCTAACACTCCTGTTTTTATCTATCAGCCAGGGCTCTCTGATTGATTGGTGCTGTTAATCTGGTCCAATCTGGGAACCCATATTTGATGAGGTCCACCTGGCTGACCTCCTTACAATCAATAGACCACCTTTAACCATTGTTTGTTTCACAAACTCATGTCATTTGGAGTTTTAGAAGATCAGACATAATAATACCATGGACTGCATTAGTTCATGGTGATGCTTCACCACTTCTCTCAAGGGCAATTAGGAATGGGAACTAAATGATAATCCAGCCAGTGATGCCTATACCCTGTGAATGAGCTTAAAAAAAACTAAATAAGACTCATGATAAAACAGGTAAAAGGGCCAAGAAAGTTTACTGAGCTGAGTTTGTTTTGCTTTGACAGATGTGGAGTAAGCAAACAAAAGGAAGCCTGATTTTCAAAGCAGAAGAAGAGATAACCTGCAAGGTGACAAATGTTGAGCAACTACGAGCAACCTTTGCAGAGAAAGAAGGGGAACTGGGTGAGGCCGAGAAATTAGAAATGGAGGAAACTTCTGTTATATTTGTGGATGAGGCTAGTCTTCTGGATAACGACAGCATACATTTTAACCTGGTGACGTCTTGAATGGAACATTTTCCAGCGTTATGTTGTTATATGGGTGAAGCCCTGTGACTTCATTCATGCACAAAAAGAAGATTCTCTTTTGCAACAATGCATAAACTGCTCAGCACAGTGACCCGTAGGTGGATTCCAAGAATGAATGACCAAACTGTCAGATTTAGGTATTTTGCATCATTTTCGCATCTGATTAAATACAGTAACATACGACACAGAGCACTGCAGGTTCTGTCCACTTAGCCCCTGTTCATGAAGTTGTGATATGTTTCTTGCCTCATACTGCACAGGTGGATTCCGGTCAGTGGTCTGTGACCTTGTATCAGTGCCTAGCATTGAGCTGCTAGCTTACTGTTTGATAATTGGCTGTGTATCAGGGAAATGGCAAGGACTAACCAGTCAAGTGCGAGCCACTCACTTTGCGCCGGGCCTATCAAACAGCAACCTTATCACAAGAGAAGATTTCCAAACATGTGACATCTCACCTAGTCATTAACTACCAATCTCTATCATTTATTAGATTGTAGTCAAGGAACTGGTCAACATCAATAACAGACCAACGTGTGCACAGCAGACAAAAGCGTACAGTAGATCCACACTTAGACAAATGCACACCAGACACAAAAACACTCATGTGCATATGTGTATGTACACACTCTCTCTCGCTCTCTCTCCCCGCCTCGCTCTCTCTCTTTCTCTCTATCCATCTCTCTCCCCCTCTCTCTGTCCTTCTCTCTCTCCCCTCTCTGTCCCTTGCTGACTCTGTCCCTCATGCTCTGTCCTTTTCTCTGTCTCTCAGATGCCAGACGCATCCACGTACACATACATACACTTGAACATTGGTCGACGAATATCATTTAAGACTTTCAACCTTGACTGATGGAGACTGACGTGCATACTTGTGGTTCTTCTGATGCATAAACTGAACTTTAAACTTCTGAAATGTGGTGCAAGACCGAATTATTGTTTATAGAAATATTTGGATGACAAAATGCCAGATTAAAAACAGCTGCTTTGCAGAACCCATTTTTCAAACAGGAATCCCACAGATAGAACACACAAGACACAAAGTTCAATCATGCTGTGGCAGTTATCTATTGATAACTTTCCTGTGATTCACTGCAATATCCCAGTGAACAATTTATAAGCACAAACGCACTAACTGGTGTACACTGGTTGAATTGCAGAATTTGCAAGCTTTGTTAAAAAAAATCAGTTGTTTCTGAGTGATGGAATGGAAGAATGAATAATGGACGGTAATTTCAAAGGCTGCAATTGGAGAGCAGAGGGAGGGGTATTTAAACAACCTGACATCCCTCTTGTTCAGTCTGAATGAAGGATAAATTTCCATCTGATGAGTCAGGTACCCTCCCCTGAAACACAACAAAATACAGAGGGTGCTGGAAATGTGAAATAAAAACAAATATTGCCTCAACTGCTAAGCAATTCAGGCAGCATCTATGGAGGAAGAAACCAAGTTAGGTTTTCGGGTTTGCAAGACCTTCCAACAAAGGCTGTTCCTAGTGTAACTTGACAGATGTGTACTTTGGGGTAGCATGGTAGCTCAGCGGTTACCACTGCTACCTCCCAGTTCCAATGACCTGGGTTCAATTCCAGCCTCAGGCAACTGTCTGTGTGGAGTTTGCGTGTCTGTGTGGGTGTGCTCTGGTTTCCTTCCACAGTCCAAAGATGTACAGGTTAGGTGGATTGGCCATGCTAAATTGCCATAGTCTCCAGGGATATGAAGCTAGGTGGAAATGCAGAGTTACAGGGATAGAGTGGGAATGCTCTTTCATGTGGAATTGTCGGGCTGAATAGCTTGTTTCCACACTGTCAGGATTGTATGAGCTTGAAAAGGCATTTTCTAATTCTCTCCTTAAATTTTAAATGACTTTATGTTCTCGCTGGAAGAACCACCACCGTTATGTTTGTGTGTTGATTTCTTAGACGCATTTTCCTTCGGGCGCATTGTTCTGCAGAAGAACCCATTGCCTGGTGAACATCCTTTTCACTATTTTCCAAATAGCATTGAGCCATTGTGCATATACATTCTAGCCTCGCTTCTCTTAAAGGGAAATGTTACTTATGTATATCATGTGAAATTGTGAAATCTTTAATAAAAATTTTATTACAGTTGACTATTTTCATTTCCAAACGCTTAGGACTCTATTGAACTGGAAGATAAAATAATGTTTATTTAAATGGTGCCTTTCCAATCCCCAGAAGGAAGTCATGTGGCACAATGGATAACACCATTGTGAGCCCGGAGCTCAGGATTCTACTCCAAGGCTTGATGGCTATGAAAGATATGTTCACAATGTGACCAAACAGTTTGGTTATCAACTAGTAAATCTTTCCAATATGCCTGTGATAAGAGTGAGAGAATCTCTTGACTGATATTGCATGATGCAGACTGGTGTAGAGCCACTGAGGACTCATTTTAGAAAAGAAACTAACATGTTTTGTCCACTTCACTTTGGGAAAAAACTTTTGGAAAAAGTAATTATTTCATGGGATCACTAGAGAGGCCAACATTCATTCCCCATCCCTAACTACCCCTTGAACTGAGTGGCCTACTAGATCCCTCCAGAGGACAGGCAGGTGGCCCTAGTTTAGTTTGGGATTATGTTCAGCATGGATTAGTTAGACCAAAGGGTCTGTTTCTGGACTGTATAACTGAGTCAACCATATTGCTATGGATCAAAAGTCACATGTAGGCTAGACTGGGCAAGGATGGCAGATTTCTTTTACCGAGGGCATTCGTGAAGCAGAAGAGGTTTTACAGCAACTTTTAACAGTTTCATGACATCATTACTGACAGCAGCTTTCAACTTCAGAGTTACTAATTGAATTTAAATTCCACCAACTTCTGTGGTGAGAGTTGAATTCTGGCCATCCGCCGAGCACTAGCTTCAGCCTCTGAATTATTAATAACCATGGGGTCCTCTCCAGAACTTGCAAAGTGCTGTACGATACCACTGGGTGTTGGCATGGTGGTATTATTGCTGGACTGTTAATCCAGGAGACTCACACGATATTCCGGGCAAAACAAAAAACGCTGGAAATCACAGCAGGTCAGGCAGCATCCGTGGCAAGAGAGCAAGTTAACATTTTGAGCCTAGATGACTCTTCATCAGAGCTAATATTATGGGGACCCAGGTTCAAATCCATGGCAGATGATGGAATTTGAATTCGATATAAGCCTGGAATGAAGAATAATGATGACCATGGAACCGTTGTCAATTGTCAGAAAAACCCTCTAATGTCATTGGTGTCCCCCAGGGAAGGAAGCTACCATTCTTACCAGGTCTGGACTGCATGTGACTCCAGACCCACAGCCATGTGGTTGACTCTTAACTGCCCTCTGGGATAGGCAACAAATGCTGGCGCAGCCAGTGCTGCCTTCATCCTGTGAATGAATAAAAAAAACCAATTACTTTGAAAGACAGCCAATTTGCACATAGAAAGCTTCCATAATGCAAGTGAGACCATATTTTTGTGGTTCTGGTGAGGGATGTCAGCCAAATTATAAATGGAATTTTTCAGCAGCTGTGACTTTACTGCAAACTTAATGTCTTCCTGACTTTGTACAAATATTTGGCTGGCGTTACTACTTCAACAGGAAGCAAGAGTCATCTGATCAAAGTAGCGAAAATAGTCCATTGTTTAATACACTGTGATTCAAAAGTAAATCAGCAAATAAAACTCTCCTTGCAAGACTGATGTCTGCTGTACAGAAAGTATTACCATACTGCATCACTCATTGTAACACAAACCCCATTGGGTCTCATCTAAGCTGGGTAAAAGTCTAATGCAGAATGCCATCAATAAGGATTCCTTCTGTCTGTGGTTTTTAAATTAAATCTGGTCCTCAAGGCAAGAGTTTAAGAAAGATATATTTGAGTACTTTTTTGTTTTGAGAACATCAATGGAATCCTTTTATTTGGATACAAGCCTTAAGCAAGGTTTCACAATAAAAAACAGTCAAAGCTTTTCCTCAACTGAATTCCCAAACAAATGTGATGGAATGACTCAGAAACTTCAAAAAGGAGTTGGCTTAATATTTACATCAATAAAAATCAGCATACAGACTTGCATTCATACAGCACCTTTCTTGACCTCAAGGTTTTACAAACAGTGAAGTATTTTTTGAAGTGCATTTGAAGTTGAACTACGATGTTGTGGCCATTACGGAGACTTTGATAACACAGGGGCAGGAATGGTTGTTGGATGGTCCAGGATATAGATGTTTCAAAAGAAATAGGGAGGGAGGTAAAAGAGGTGGGGGAGTGGCATTGCTAATCAGGGATGATATCACAGCTGCAGAAAAGGAGGTTGTGGAGGAGGGTTTGTCTACTGAGTCAGTATGGGTGGAAGTCAGAAACCGGAAAGGAGCAGTCACTTTATTGGGAGTTTTCTATAGAACCCCCAATAGCAACAGAGACACTGAGGAACAGATTGGGAGGCAGAGTTTGGAAAGGTGCAGAAGTAATAGCGTTGTTGTCATGGGCGACTTCAATTTCCCTAATATACACTGGAACCTCCTAAGTGCAAATAGTTTGGATGGAGCAGATTTTATCAGGTGTGTCCAGGAAGGATTTCTGACTCAATATGTAGATAGGCTGACTAGAGGGGAGGGCCATATTGGATTTGGTGCTTGGCAACGAACTAGGCCAGGTGTCAGATCTCTCGGTCAGAGAGCATTTCGGTGATAGCGATCACAACACCCTGACCTTTACTATAGTCATGGAGAGGGATAGGAGCAGATGGTATGTGAAAGTATTTAATTGGGGGAGGGGGAATTACAATGCTATTAGGCAAGAACTACGGAACACTAATTAGGATCAGATGTTCTCAGGGAAATGCATGACAGAAATGTGGAGGTTGTTTGGGGAGCAGCTACTACAAATACTGGATAGGTTTGTACCACTGAGGCAAGGAAAGGATGGTAAGGTGAAAGAATCATGGATGAAAAGACATGTGGAACACCTAGTCAAGAGGAAGAAGGAAGCTTACTTCAGGTTGAGGAAGCAAGGATCGGACAGGGCTCTAGAGGGCTACAAGGTAGCCAGGAAGGAACTGAAGAATGGACTTAGGAGAGCTAGAAGGGGGTATGAGAAAAACTTGGCGGATAGGATCAAGGAAAACCCCAAGGCGTTCTATGCTTATGTGAGGAACAAGAGGATGGCCAGAGTCAGGGTAGGCCCAATCAGGGATAGTGGAGAGAACATGTGCGCAAAGTCAGAGGAGGTAGGGGAGGTCCTTAATGAATACTTTGCTTCAGTATTCACCAGTGAGAGGGACCTTGACATTTGTGAGGACAGCATGAAACAGGTGGATATGCTCAAACAGGTTGATGTTAGGAAGGAGGATGTGCTAGAAATTTTGAAAAATATGAGGATAGATAAGTCCCCTGGGCCATACGGGATATACCCAAGGTTACTATGGGAAGCGAGGGAAGAGATTGCTGCCCCTTTGGCAATGATCTTTTCATCCTCACTGTCCACTGGAGTAGTACCAGAAGATTAGAGGGTGGCAAATATCATTCCCTTGTTCAAGATAGGGAATAGGGATAATCCTGGAAGTTACAGACTGGTCAGTCTTACTTCTGTGGTGGGAAAAATTATTGGAGAGGATTCTGACAGATAGTATTTATGATTATTTGGAAAAGCACAGTTTGATTAGAAATAGTCAGCATGGCTTTGTGAGGGGCAGGTCATGCCTCACAAGCCTTATTGAATTCTTTGAGGATGTGACAAAACACATCGATGAAGGTAGAGCAGTGAATGTGGTGTATATGGATTTTAGCAAGGCATTTGATAATATTTGATAGGGGTGACACGGTGGCACAGTGGTTATCACTGCTGCCTCACAGCGCCAGGGACCCAGGTTTGATTCCACCCTCGGGCGACTGTCTGTGTGGAGTTTGCACATTCTCCCCGTGTCTGTGTGGGTTTCCTCCAGGTGCTCCGGTTTCCTCCCACAGTCCAAAGATGTGCAGGTTAGGTGGATTGGCCATGCTAAATTGCCCGTAGTGTTCAGGGAGGTGTAGATTAGGTGGGCTATAGGGGGATGGGTCTGGGTGGGATGCTCTGAGGGTCGGTGTGAACTTGTTGGGCTGAAGGGCCTGTTTCCACACTGTAGGGATTCTATGATTCTATGATAAGGTTCCCCATGGTAGGCTCATTCAGAAAGTAAGGAGGCGTGGGATTCAGGGAAATTTGGCTGTGTGGATACAAAACTGGCTGTCCAATAGAAGATAGAGGATGGTAGTAGATGGAAAGTATTCAGCCAGGAGCTCGGTGACCAGTGATGTTCCACAGGGATCTGTTCTGGGACCTCTGGTCTTTGTGATCTTTACAAATGACTAGGATGAGGAAGTGGAAGGGTGGGTTAGTAAGTTTGCTGATGACATGAAGGTTGGTGGAGTTGTGGAGGGCTGTTGTAGGTTGCAGCGGGACATTGACAGGAAGCAGAGCTGGGCAAATAAGTGGCAGATGGAATTCAACCCAGAACAGTGTGAAGTGATTCATTTTGGAAAGTTGAATTTGAATTCAGAATACAGGGTTAATGGCAGGATTCTCAGCAGTGTGGAGGAACAGAGGGATCTTGGGGTCCACGTCCATAGATCCCTCAAAGTTGTCACCCAAGTTGATAGGATGGTTAAGAAGGCATATGATGTGTTGGCTTTCATTAGCAGGGGAATTGAGTTTAAGAGCTGTGAGGTTATACTGTAGCTCTATAAAACTCCGGTTAGACCACACTTGGAATATTGTGTTCAGTTCTGGTCACCTCATTATAGGAAAGATGTGGAAGCTTTAGAGAGGATGCAGAGGAGATTTACCAGGATGCTGCCTGGACTGGAGGGCAGGTCTTATGAGGAAAGGTTGAGGGAGCTAGGGCTTTTTTCATTGAAGTGAAGAAGGATGAGAGGTGACTTGATAGAGGTGTACAAGATGATGAGGGGCATAGATAGAGTGGATACCCAGAGACTTTTTCCCAGGGCAGAAATTACTATAACGAGGGGGCATAATTTTAAGGTGATTGGAGGAAGGTATAGGGGAGATGTCAGAGGTAGGTTCTTTACACAGAGCGCGGTGGGCATGTGGAATGCGCTGCCGGCAGTGGAAGTG